GCTTCCTCATGGAGGAAGCTTTATGAGCGAAATCTAATTTTTTTCGATGTTTCTTGAAGGTGTGCAAAGTGGAAATTTGCACATTTCTTCCTCATCATTAAAGTAGGCAAATTAGAAATTTGCACATTGCTTCCATTGTTATGTCTTTCTCATGGAGGAAGCTTTAAGAGAAAAATCTAACTTTACTACGATGTTTCTTGAAAGTATTCAAATTAGAAATTTGCATATTCTTATTTCGCTCTTAAAGCTTCCTCCATGAGGAAGCCATGTGCAAATTTAATTTGCACACTTACTTTTTTCTAATTAGAAATTTGCACATTGCTTCCATTGTTATGGCTCGGGATGGCGTTGCACCTCAACACCTTTCTGTACTTACAGTGCAACCAGAGAAATGCACTTTTCTGTAGCAGTGGTATGTAAACACAGCGAAAGCGATTCGTATGTACGTTTCGGCGGTGCAAATCTGAAACGCTTTTGTGCGTTCAGTTTACGAATCGCCTTTGCTGTGCGTACATACAAATTAAATGTGGTTAATTTCTTGTCGTGAAGTGAGTGCTTGTTGTGTCGCGACTGACAATCCTTGGAAGAAACACGTGTTTGGTTGTCTTTCAAGGATTATTAGTCACCGAATGATTAATCGATAGCGATTAATAATAGTGATAAACGTGTGTGTTCCAAGTGTAAGTGAGTGAGTGAGTGAGTGAGTGAGTGAACCGGAGAGAAGCTGATCGCAACGCGCAACGGCCACCCCACGAAAGAGCCCGCGCCTGACTGTGAGTTGCGCCGCCCCTGCCTACCTCCTGTATTCGACGTGTGATAGGGTAACAATTTTTATTTATATCTCGAAAAATAAGCTTTTACCAAAGTTTTACAAGAGGAAAATTCATCTTAGAATTTTATTCCGAACTTGTATTTTCAATGGTAAAAGGTTATACTGACTCACCCTGTATACACGATTCTGTATCTTTTAAAAGCCGAAATTAATGTAAAAGTTTTAAGTCTTTCTATTCTTGACCCGTAAGTATTACAGCAAATTTTTAAACGGAGATGTTGAGGTCTATAACTTAAAATCAAATTGAAAACATTTGTACGGTCGTGGTCAGAAAGGTTTTCCGACGTTTTACAATAAGTTTTCAGAATATGTGTAAGTATCATTGCATAGATATTGGTACATATCATTCCTTTACTTCAATAATGCTTCAATAATGTATCACATATCTGTGAGCAAAAGCTATAATCTCTCGCATGATAAACCGTATTTCCGAAATTTATCATAAAACGTCGGATAACCTGCACTGACAAGGAAATCGCAAGAAGTGACCCCTCATAACCGATCATAACGAATAAGGGTTCTTTCGAAAGGTCATATCCACACACTAAGAAAAATGTCCGATTAAATATAATCGGATAATCCAATTACATGATAACAAACGGATATATCCAATGAAATTGTATATCCGAAGAAAAATATTGCAGAACCCTAATAATTGCAATATTTCAATAAAGAAAGTTGCAGGAATATTCCAAACGAGATGTTATGAATGTGAGATGTTGAGATATTTCTGCAACCTAACATAAACTTTGTGTGCTATCAGGGATATGATGTAACTATTGGTCTTTGGAGTGACATCAGTTGGAAGAAGTAAGTAAGACGTCATAATGACGTTATTTAAATAACACGGTTTTGTTAAAAATTTGTGTATATTTATGTATTACATGTACGTAATTATTTCGTACGTTCGTTGTTCACCAGCCATTGAGAGATTGAGCACCTTTCTTGCGCACTCTCGACGCGCAAAAGGGCTGCGTCTAATATACGTGCGCACCAAAGGTGCTCGCTGCTCAATATATAGGCTGCGTTTCGTTATTCACTGCAAGTACTGCAAATGGCATTTAATTATTACCTATGTATTAATTACGTGTAATATTAGGTCTTTATTACGTGTTATATTACGTGTTTATTACGTGATATATTACGTGTTTATTACGTATTATAACATGATTTATGACGTAAATAAAACATCAAGTTAATCACGTTATGTCAGGTTAATGACGTAAGTAAACGTCATTAATCTGACGTCATTTTTGACGAGACAAACTCACGTCGTCATTACATTAATATACCGTAATAAACTAACGTCGAACAGGTAAAAAACTGACCTTATATTAACGTCATTACGACGTCAGCTGGTTGTCTGGGAATTGTATAAACTAGCCCTAAAATTAAATAAATTCAATCTTTATTATAGAATGTATTCGATTTTATTTCCTTATTATAGATTTTAGGAGCTTTTAAGACATCTTAAGGACATCTTTTGCTTCCTCATAGAGGAAGCTTTGTTTTCGTGAAAAAAATTTTTTTCCAGTTTTCTTTGAAAACATGATTAGAATGTTCTAAAACGTTCAAAAATCACATTCAGAAAAAATGCCGGTATGTATGTATGTATGTATGTGTGTATGTGTGTATGTATGTATGTGTGTATGTATGTATGTATGTATGTATTTCTGTATGTATCCTTATAAGGTAACCCTAAATAACTTTTTAAATATGTAAGATGGAAAAAAATGTTAAACATGAAAGTTGGACGGTTTTAAGTAATGCATTACATAGTAATATACGAGGTCTGTTCAAAAAGTATCGCGAGTTTTGAATTTCCGCGGGCTACGTATATTCGATTTTCGATTTTTTTGTGGCGTTATGTTGGTACTCATGTCCCTCACTCATGCTGACAAGTTCGGCCATTTGGAATGTCCAGTTAATTTTTGACAGCTATTTTGCTTGGACGTGTTTTGGCTCGTCTTCGATTTTTGCCTATTTCAAGAAATGGATCAAAGAACATGTATAAAATTTTGTGTGAAAAACAAAATTAAGTGCGCGGACGCATTCCGAATGTTGACTGTGGCATATGGTGAAGCTACCTTGAACCAAAGCAACGTTTATCGGTGGTACAAAATGTTCTCAGAGGGCCGAGAAGATGTGAACGACGAAGAGCGTGCCGGACGCCCGAGCACGTCAATAACAGACGAAAACATTGATGAAGTGAAGAAAATAGGGTAAATATGCAGAAAAGGTCACACCTCACCGATTTCCTCGCCACTTAGATATGTTATAGGGGAGAGTTTTCTGAGTAATTCCCCGCAAGAATCAAATGGGGGACGGCATTGGTTTAGGAGATATAACAAATTGAAAACTAAAAATTTTAATACTTTTTCTTAATAATTTTTATTAAAATGCCTGTGTAGCTACCTTTAAAATCATAAACAAACTACTATTTTCATTTACAAGGTCACACCTGCCCCCTCCCGCAACGGTCGGTACGGATTGAACACACACATACACGCGCGCGCGCATACACTTAATTCTTCTCGCGGCGCAGACTGACCGAGCAAGCGAGATCCACTCCACACCTCTGACATAGGGTCGGTAGGGTTATTTTTAACGAAATGGAGCCCCCCCGAAGGGGGGCGGAACATACTGTCTCCACGCATACATTTTTCTACCCACATATAAGTCACTCCCCTCCACCAAATGTAGATAGAAAAATGTATGCGTGAAGACAGTGTGTTCCGCCCCCCCTTCGGGGGGGCTCCACTTCGTTGAAAATAACCCTACCCACCCTATGTCAGAGGTGTGGAGTGGATCTCGCTTCACGTGGAAAGTTGCAAACCCATGTGGAACAGTACAATGGTGGAAGTACATGCGTGAAGACAGTGTGTTCCGCCCCCCTTCGGGGGGGCTCCACTTCGTTAAAAATAACCCTACCCACCCTATGTCAGAGGTGTGGAGTGGATCTCGCTTGCTCGGTCAGTCTGCGCCGCGAGAAGAAGTGTGCGCGCGCGCGTGTGAGTGTGTGTGTGTGTTTGTTCAATCCGTACCGACCGTTGCGGGAGGGGGCAGGTGTGACTTTGTAAATGAAAATGGTAGTTTGTTTATGATTTTAAAGGTAGCTACACAGGCATTTTAATAAAAATTACTAAGAAAAAGTATTAAAATTTTTAGTTTTCAATTTGTTATATCTCCTAAACCAATGCCGTCCCCCACTTGATTCTTGCAGGGAATTACTCAGAAAACTCTCCCCTACAACATATCTAAGTGGCGAGGAAATCGGTGAGGTGTGACCTTTTCTGCATATTTACCGAAAATAGTATTCCGCCAATCGTCGAATCACCGTTAGAGAAGTTGCGGAGGACCTAAACATATCGATTGGCTCGTGCCATTCGATTTTTACCAATGATTTGGGCATGAGACGGATCGCCGCGAAATTCGTACCAAAATTGCTCACTTTCGACCAAAAACAGCATCGCATTAACATTGCTACGGAGCTGTTGGACTCTGTCCGCGACGACCCAAATTTGCTCCAGAGGGTCATAACTGGTGACGAATCATGGGTTTATGGTTATGACGTGGAAACCAAAGCTCAATCATCCCAATGGAAGCTGCCGCACGAGCCAAGACCGAAAAAAGCGCGCCAAGTTCGGTCGAATGTGAAGGTTTTGCTTACAGTTTTCTTCGATTGCAGGGGCGTGGTGCATCATGAGTTTTTGCCACAGGGTAGAACGGTCATTAAGGAATATTACCTGCAAGTTATGCGCAATTTACGCGAAGCAATCCGCCAGAAACGCCCGGATTTGTGGAAGAACAAAAATTGGCTTTTGCACCATGATAACGCCCCTGTTCACACATCGTTGCTTGTGCGCGAATTTTTGTCTGTTAGGGCTGTTAACAACTCTTTCCTGTCGATCTCGACTTTTTTATCGTTGAGGATCATATTAACTGCTTTTCCCAATGCTGACAGTCTGGCACCACAAAGATCCTGGTCGGTTGCCAAATATTTATCTCGTTTCTTCACCGTGTCATTCACAATTGCTTCAACTTCTGGATTTAGTTTAGGCGTGTCGACAGGACAATTGCCCTTTCGTGGGTACATCTTGAAGAATTTAATTTTGCTGTCTTTGTCAATGCCTTCGGCGAGAACTTTCTTCCAAGTCTCTGCCAGTTTTGGATGGAATATAAACTCCTCATTTGTCGAGAGTCCTTCTCCAAGAATCTCCAAAGTCTCTTCATCCAACTCGACAAAGTCCTCGTCCTTTTCGAATCTTTCTGTCGCTTCCAGACTGTTAGGGTTTTGGATTTTGCCCTCGTTTTCTTTATCTCCGTCATCGGGCGGAGGATTAACGTTAGTATTTAGAGACATGTCTGGAAGCGCGAAGGATCTAGATTATAAGCTATCAATTTATTGACGCGCGAGAGGCCGTTATAACCTCTTCATATAACCTAGTCAGTTCGTACGGATTTGTCTCACCTCTCGTGTGAGCTCACCGCCGATAAGGTTGCCTCGCTCTTGATGAGGAAGACATCTAATTAGTATAATCAATTTATAGCTTACCTGAAACTTTTGGCAATGAGACTGACGAAATAGTATCGTTGTCTATATTGTTCACTGGTGATGTATTTTCACCCTTTTTAATTAACTTTTCTTCCAGTTTCCTTAGCTTCCTTCGAAGCCTCTCCACTGAGGGAGAACGATCTCTTCTTTTCGATTTCTTTCCCATTTTTATTTTACGCTCGCTGAAACGTGGTTTCTCGTTACGCACAAAAAACGTTATGACGAGAAGATGGCGGACAGGGGTTCACTATAGAGGGCCACTCGTCCTCTTCTTCTATTGGCTGAAAATTGTGGTAACTCCTAGCGGACTAAAGCGGTACTACCTAGTTATCTAGTTATAGTTAGTGATCTCGAGAACGAGAAACGATGCATAATCGCTAATTTCTTATTTTATAATTCAATTACCTTCAAACCTGATGGAGAAATTTGGACAGTGGCATAATTTTTTGTGATCAAAAATTTATAGAGACACTTACTCTGATTAGAGTTACTAGACCAAAATTTTTTTGTGCTTCCGTATTATTGAACCATTTACTCTCGCTGTTCATTTTACGGCAAATATGATTGCTGGGCAATTTTTTTAATAGTAATGAACAAATCATATCGACTTAACTGTCTATGATATTAATTTAAAGTTAGCTGCGAGCTAACGCGCTTTGTCAGCTTGAAACACAATTATAATCTCCTCCTTTCTTTACCAAATAATAAAGAATTTATTTCTTGCTCCAGTTGTCGAATTGGATAAGACACCCGCCACGGATAGTCGGGAGGTTCCAGGTTCAAACCCTGGCTGGGGTGATATTTTTCGCAATAAGAAATTTGGCCAGTTAAAGTCGATTTTAAAATATTATTTTATTTATTTTTATTCTTACCAGGTCCGTCAGGAATTTAAAATTCTAACTACCCTGGTAGAAATTGCACTGCCGGCGCCACGACACTTGTCAACGCCATGCAAGTTTGCCACGCCAGCGCCTTATTCTAAAAAATTGGGAAGGGCCATGTTAGCGCCATGTCCGCGCCTAATAATAAATGGCATGGCATTCCCGACTAGAAATAAAGTCATGCATGCCTTATGTATCGTCAGGGTCCGATAGGGAGAAAGTAAGGAATGCCCTCCCTGATGGAAAAATTTTGCTGAAAACGTAATGAAATTTGTTGAAATTTGCAATTGACCCTATTTCATTATCATGTCAGCAATTTTTCATTAAAAAATTTATTTTCAGTTAAATTCTGCAAATTTCATAATATACATTTCTAAAATTTTTTCACTAATTTTTAGTAATATTAATTAACTTTCATCTAATTTCACAGTATTTCATGGAATTTCATAACGAAACTTATGATTTATTTTGAAATGGTTTCAACAAGTTTCCAATAACTTTCATTTCACTTTTCATCAATTTCAATACATTATCAGCAAAAGTTTTCCATCAGGGTATCCCTGATAATATCAAAATAAATCATAAGTTCCGTTATGATATTCAATGAAATACTGTGAAATTAGATGAAGGTTAATTAATATTACTAAAAATTAGTGAAAAAATTTTTGAAATGTTGTATATTATGAAATTTACAAAATTTCACTGAAAATAAATTTTTTAATGAAAAATTGCTGAAATAATAATGAAATTGAGTCATTTGCAAGAGATTTTCAACCAAATTTCAGCAAATTTCATTATGTTTTCAGCAAAATTTTTCCATCAGGGCTAACAAGGAATCCCTAACATGTGCCTGATTCCCTCCTGAATAGATAGCACTGTTAGAAGTAGATCTATCACACATGTGTGAATATTAACACGTCACACACTTGAAATGTGTGAATATTAATGCGTTACATATATTTAATGCATAATTTTTCAACCGTCATGCATTATCCTATTAATATGCGCGTGTGAAATGCATTAAAGAAGGTGTGGAAGTCACACACTTCAATGTGTGGATTTTATCAAACATCTAATAATGTTTGAAATAGTCAAACATCGTAATATTCACACATGTGTAATATTTCTATACGTTTGAATATAACACACTTTTGGAAAATTCACACACTGAGTATAGTAACGCACTTACTAGTCACACACTGATTAGTCACATACTGCAACTACCCCAGACAACATCGTGCGAAATCAGTGTTCGTTGTAGATATCCTACCGTGTGTTATCCCATCCGTTTTGTGCTTCAGACGACCGTGAATAAAGTGCCTTCAAGTCTAGACTGTGTCCTATTGCTTTTTTTCGTAGGGAAATCCTTTATGGATAACCGGGCCCCCCTCTGGGAAGGGAGTTTACTAATGGCCCGGGTTATGTGGGACTGCCCCTCTATCTAGCGAGGTGCGCGCCTGCTAATATTCGGCGCACTGGCTTACCCACTAAAACCCTACGGTGGTCTGCGCGGTGCTATACTTGGGGGGGGGGGCGG